TCGCCACGATCGACAGGCACATGGGCGTGGTACGTCCCCCCCTCCCCCAACACCCGTCACCCCTGGGCAGGCAGGGCTGGAAAAGGGCCTAACCTCCTCCCCAACAGGTATACTCTGGCATGATCCCTGACGGCCGCCACTTTGTCGAGCGCGCACGCGGCGAGGCCCGCTCCTGGCGCGACCAATACAAGACGCCCATCCCGTCGGACCAGCTCGCCAGCCGCATGGGCGGCTACCTGCAAGTCTACACGCTGTACCAGTCGGTGCGGCCCTTTGGCATCACGGCCATCGTCGGCGGCTTCGACAGCGAGCTCGAGGCGCCCGTCGACGGCGAGGTTGGCAACGGGCCGTCGGTCGGCGCCGGCGGCAAGGCCCAGGGCAAGACGTACGGCGGGCCCAAGCTCTACATGCTCGAGCCGTCGGGCCTGTACTGGGGCTACTTTGGCGCCGCCACGGGCAAGGGGCGGCAGTCGGCCAAGGCGGAGCTCGAGAAGCTCGACCTGGCGGGCGAAGGCGGCGAGAACATGACGCTCGAGCAGGCCGTCAAGGAGGCCGCCCGCATCATTTACGTCGCTCACGACGACAGCAAGGACAAGGAATTTGAGCTCGAGATGACGTGGATCAGCGCGTCCACCGGCCCCACCAAGGGCCTGCACCAGGAGGTGCCCAAGGCGCTGCGCGACGAAGCCGAGAGGCTGGCCAAGGCGGCGCTGGAGGGCGACGACGAGGACGAGGCGAAGGACAAGATGGAGGAGTAAGCGGGTTTGTGTGGGAAGCGGAGGAGAACCAAGGGGAAAGCGGGACTGTATTTATACAAACAGAGACTCCTGTGGCCAAAAAGGCCCCCTGGTCGGGCAGGTGGGAAGAGTAGAAGCCCCAATTTCCATCACACGTCCGCCCTTGGGGAGTGAGGCGATAGGCGCTGCAATGGTCATGTGTTGAGAGCGAGAGAGGCAAGTTCCGAGGCGAGACTCTTTGTCATGTTCCTAATAGTTGGCAAGTCCCTCTCCCGCCCAAGGACCAGACAAGGATCAACAAGTCGAAAATACGTCAAATTACGGGACTTAGCCACCGTCCAACCCGTATCCCGTACAGATAGATGAACACGCCCTGCCAAATCTATTCTACTAGTATCGTCACCACCAGCCGCTATGCAATCCCCTCCCCCCCCAATCTTAATCCTTCTCCATGGCAGCAGTCCCCTCCTGCGCCGCCGCCGTCGAGGCGTGTCCCTGGCACCAGTTGAGCCAGTCCAGAAAAAAGGCCTGCTGGATCTTGACCTTGCCCTCGTAGAGCTTCATCTGCGACTGTGCGTACAGCTGGAACACGGCCTCACGCTGCGGCCTGCCCACGGCGCACAGGATCGAGGCCACAGCCAGGCTGGCCGTCGAGACGGTGCGCCCAAAGGCGTGCGAGGGGTCTTTAGTCGCCTCGTCGTGGAGCGCGCCGAGGAGCTCCATCAACGCGTCGGTGTCGAACGAGGCCGCCGTCTTCTGATCAAGACCGCCGCGCGCCTTCTTGAGCGTCTTGGCAAAGGTGGCGACGATCTCCGAGGCCTTGTTGGCGAGGGGCTTGGCCGTCGTGTTGCGGACGAGCTCGAGCAGGGGGAGGAGCACGTCGAACGCCAGGGGGTTGAGGGCGGCGACCTCCTTCTTGACGAGGATGGCGAGCAGGTCGAGGACGCGGTGCTTGAAGTTGACGACTGTCTCCTTGGCGTCCTTGCGCTCCTTCTTCTTGCTCGTCGTCTTGGCGCGGTGGCGGAAGATCTCGGCGAGCTTCTGGTCGACGGCGAGCATCTCCGAGTCCGACATGTCGGAGCCGTCGTCGTCCGACGACGGCGCGTCGGCGTCCTGGTCGAGCCGGTGGCTCTGGAGCACCTCGGCGAGCGCGTTGTCGAGCGCGTCGAGGGCTTCTTGGTCCATGTTGGCTTGTGCGGTGGCCTTGTCTTTGGCGCCGCCTTCGGAGCCGGCGTCGCTGGCGTCGTCGGCGTCGGAGCCGGCGTCTTCGAGGTCGACGATTTCCACGTCCGAGTCGAGCTCTTCCTCGTCTTCGCCGTCGCTGCCGTCCTCGGCGTCGCTGGCTTCGGCATCGGCCATGTCTTCGTCTTCGGTGCTGAACAGCGCCTGCTGGCCCTTGGCGCTCTCTTCCGCAGTCAGGGGCTCGGTGAGGAGCTTGAGCGCGTCGGCCGAGATGAGGCTGGTAAAGGCCTCAAAAACCTGCTGCGAGACCTGGCGCATCAAGGACGAGGGACGAGCCACCATGGCCAGGAGGATCTCGACGAGGAACTCGGATGTTCCCTCGCCTTCCGCGAAGTCGGCCCCTGTCAGCTTGTTGTAGCACTCCTCCAGCTCATCGAAGAGTTCGATCGAATCGGGATCCTCGTTGTAGAACTGGAGAATGCCAACAGCGTGCAGCAAGGCCAGGGCCTGGCGTTGAGCTGCTGTCTCTTCGGACGCGGCGGGATCGAGCAGCTCCTTGAGCCTCTCGTACGCCTGTACCATCGCAGCCCAAGCCGCCTCGTCGTCGTCCTCGCCCCGCTTGGCCTCGATGGACAGGATGGCGGCGCAGAGAGAACCAAAGTCCTCGGGTCTCCTGCACAGCTTGGAGAACGCCGCGGTGCACTTGGTCCGGAGCGCCTCCTTGATGCTGAGAGATACCGCCTCGTTGGAGTATGCCAGCTCGGTAAGCAAGTGAATCGCGGTGCCGGGGACGGACTTTGTGGGGTTCGTCTCGTCGGGGTCCGATAAAGCACTGGACAACCTGAACAGATAGTTGCCAAGAGTCTGGTAATACGCGTCCATCTCCAGCCCGCTCTTCGACGCATCTTTCAGATTGACGAGTTTGAGGACAGCCTTAACGGTGGAGTTGCGAGTTTGTTGCAAGAGCTTGTCCACTGTCTTGGTGCTGGTTTTTTGGTCAAAGTTGTAGACGCCGTGCTCGCTGAGAAGCTGACGGAGAACGGTGGGGAGGAGAGCGGGGTGCTTCTCAACTGCGGTCTCCGTTCCCTTCAAGGACTTGAGAGCGGCCCGGTGAAGGTATCTGTCTTCCCTAGCGGATTGGTTTATCAAGCAGGCCATAAGATTCTTGCTGAAGAGAATGGCCACCAGCTGTGGATATTCTGCGGTCCCCTCTAGCATCTTCTGGAAGATCATGAAACCGGAGAACTTCTGGGTGTCGGATGAAGTCTTGGAAAAGAAGCCCTCTAAGAATTGGTTAGCAGGCGATCTGAGATATCACAATGAAAGACATACCATCAACAACCCTGTTCCAAAACGGCTTGAACTCCGTGGCAGCATCCACCTCATTCTTGGCGGCAAGTTTGAGATAGTGGGCCAGGATGAGATCCCAAACAAAGTGAAGCTGGGCCGACCAGTTGCCCTGCTTCAGCTTCTGGCCGCCCTGCTCGTTCTTCTCCTTTCCGCTATCCTTGAGGACTGGTGGGAGCGCTTGCAGCGATGCGGCGGCCAGGGGGTTCTTCCATGGCTGTACAGGGACGTCCATGTCGGGGAAGCGATCCAAGGCAGCTATCCAGATACCAACACCCTCGGGCGTCTTCGCATATCCTTCCTCGGCCAGCTTCTGGAGCGTCTTTTCGGCGAGCTTCTTCTTCATCTGAGAAATGGCCTGGACGATGACAAAGCCACATTGCGACTTGAGCCACGACTTCTTCTGGCCAAGGCCCAGCACCAGATCCAGCATGGCCAGCCACCTCCTCTTGTCGCTAAAGAGGATCCCGGACCGAACAAAGCACTCGATGCCAAACAATTGCCCAAAGTAGCGATCTCTCTCCTCCTGTCCTGGAACGTTGCCACCGGCTTGCGTCTTCTCGATCAGGATGCCCAGCACCTTGTCAAAGGTGAGCTCGGGGTACTTTTCGCTTGCCAGGTCCTTCTCCCCAAACAGTTGTCCCAGTATTTCCGTCAAGACAAGGCTGAAGCCCAATCGGGAGGCATTTCTCCCGCTAGCGAGACCGCGGAACAGACGGTTGTTGAGATGCCGCAGGAGGACCGGCTCGGAGACTCCCTCCCCACCCAAGAGTCCTGATACGATGGCATCGGCGGCCTGGAGACGCTCGGCTGCGTCTTCGCTTCCCAGGAGTTCGTAGAGCTCGAGCTCTCTCTTGCGCTCCTGGACGGTGAGCTGTTCGGTGAAGGGCGACTTGTCGAGCTTCTTGGCCTTGGTGGTGCCATTGGGGGTCTCGGGGGCGTTCTTGGTTCGTTTTTGCGACGGCTGCGCCTCGGCATGGCTGGACTCCTTGGGAGCGCGCTTCCTTTTTCCACCCATTTTTCTGTCTGCGTCGGAGATTGTTCTTTTGTGAATGTTGCTGGGAGCGATGGAAGCTTCTCCAGTTGGAGGCGTGGCGCATGGCTTTTGGAAATTTTAGCGGGGCACTCTTTCTGCCGCTCTACGCCGCTTCAACTGAAGCAGGGGTCGAAATCGGTAGATGCATATTCATTGACGGGACTGCTACAGGGACTCCACCGATTGTTGCATATTTTGCCCCTGAGTCTTGTTATTGACTACAAGTCCCCTGCAGAAAAAGCTTGCAGAGGGGAACCCGATCTCCGCCATGAAATTTGTCCGCTCAATGCTTGATTATCCTTTCTGACTGTCATCTGGCAGAAATTAAGAACGGAGCAACTACCACCACCCCCTGTTAGTTAACGAGAGGGTTTCCTTGCGACAATCGGAATCCCCACGATGACAAGCAGGCTCCAGGGTCGATCCACATCCCGCCAAGAACCATATGACTTATGGGGCATTCTAGAGGCTTTACATTGTGGATCTCGGTTTTCTGTAATGTGTGAGGGTTCCAGGTTGCTTCTGATGCCTGCTCCCCGAAAGACTGGAGCCGGAAACAATATTTGGTTGCCGGGAGGACGTGGCGGACCGGGTAGACATGGCAAGATACCGACTCCCATCGCCCAACCAAGCAGAAAGACGAACACACAAAAAGAAAGGCTAGCCACAGACAATCAAAATGATTAGCTTTTTTAGCTTGCTCACACCAGGGATCAAACCTGGGACCTGTCGCGACGTACTTCAGATGATGAAAATCGTGAAGATGTGAGGCAAACGTCATACCACTAGACCTTACGAGCTGGCGATTGATGCAGCCTGGGGTTTGAAAGTATCCCAAGGTCCGCAGCAGCCCAGACTCCGCTGGGCTCGGGGGACGAAGCCACTGCTTGAGGCCAACCCGGATGGTTACGATTTCGAGAGCTGAAAGATGATGTCCAGAACAGCTTCTAGGTATGCTGAAGTAGCGAAGAGAAGTCCATATCAGTAAGGACTTCCAGTATGTACTTGCGGCGCGCACTTACGGCCTGGCACTTCCGGATCCCAGTCTATTTGGTGCCCAGCTGTTTGTACTGTCATGTATAAGTTCAAGGGCAACATTCTTCTCACATCTCCCGTGGCGGCTGTTGAAATCTGGGGCTCGGAGGGAAAAGGTCTTCCATAACACCCAGCTTGTAGGTGTACATGCGATCTTCCACCGTACTTACTGTGTAATGCAAATTTAGTGACATAGGCATGTATGTGCAAAATACAAGATCATCAACTACATCGAGAGACCAAGGGGTCGAGTCGCCCTCGGAGTCAGCCCACTGGGCGACGAAGATGTTTGCGTACCATATAAGAGTTCCCCACCCTTCCCATCAACCAGTACGATGTCCCTTTGCCATTAGATACAACTGGAACACCATTTTATCCGAAGGGGCCAAGCAGCCGGGAAACCGTTCATCTATATATACACATTCTAACATAGGACTTTGCGCAAGCGACCTGCGTAGATTTTCTTTCTATTCTCAATTTGCAGAAATCGAAACAACCGCAATGTTAGGGCACTCAACACACTCAGACAAGACCTTGTCCCTAAATATGGACAAGTAAAAATTGTGACATTTGAGTTGTCAGCAATTTCGCCGGGGTTTCACTTTGATACAACCAGCAATTGGGAGGCTCGGGATAACGTTCGTGTCAAGCTCTAAATGAGGCCGAATGCCTAGGTACTCTCATCCCAAAGTCGACAAATACGTGGTTGAACTTGAGGTGCCATCATCTCGACCTCCCATACAAAAGGGAGACGGCCCTACCAACAACCATCCAACGGTTCCCCATCGCAACTGCCGGTTGCCCTCAGCGTAAATAGATCTGTGTCATCGTACAAATGCTACCTACCTCTGCGACACTGATCATCGTGAAACATATAAGCGGACGCCATGACCCACTGGCGAAGGCAGCTCCTTACCTTGGGTCGCCGAAAAAAAGACGCATCAGGCCCAGGTGAACGAAGGATAGGGTAGAAAGCTGCCCTCCGTGATACCATCGATGCACGGGATAAATGGCGACAGGGCGGCGGCGGCGGATAGGCATCATCGCACCCCACGACCCATGGCGTCAATCTGCTCTATCGCAGGGGCTTGATACAAATGCCTCAAGAGCATCAAACAGCTTAGCCATTGCTCCCTCAACCGGGGAGCGCCACGGTGGGTTCTCTCGCGGCACGCCGTCCAGGAAACAGCGATGCTTGCACCCTGCATTGGCGAAACCCCCAAACGCCGGAATGGAACTAGGAAACGGCGACCGTGACAAGCCGCCGGGGTGGCGGCGGCCAGGTAGGTATGTACTCTTTGAAGGTGCAGGAAACCCTCTTCATCCGCTCGTACAACTCAAACATCGACAAGAAAGACGTACCGGTAACATGCCATTGAGCCCCCGCCTTGGTTTTTTAAAAGCGGTAGCATGCTACCGCTAAATTGGCCCTCGTTCTTCCACCGACGTCAGGAATGTTGACATTGAATGGACCCTCGGAAGAGCCGCCTGGGGGCCACGGGCCACGTGTGAGATCCAGATCCGGACCCCCCGGCCCCGGCCGTGACGCCACTTCCGCGGGTTTTGCTTCCGCGAAGAATCACCCCGCGCCGAGCCGGTCGAGACCTCGAAAAGAGGCGGCCTTATCTCGCCTGCAAGCCACCTAAGCCGCTTTGGGGGTTGCGCAACCAATATTCTCGTCAGCCAACGACAGACACCACCTGAAGGGAGGGAATGGCGAGATTTTGGGGGGCAGGCAGCAAAATATGCAGCGAAAGAATCGGTGTGCTTCACGTCTTCGGCCGTCCTTTTCCACGGTTTCTGGCTCGGCGGCATGAACCATCAGCTCTCCAGCTCGTCAGCCCAGCCCGAGATGTTCCGCCCCAGAAACAAGGCCCTCCCAAGTCCCGACTGTCATTTCCCGGGGTCGTAAAAAAAGCCAATCAAGAAGAAACCGGGATGGCCCCCCATCCCAAACCCCCCGATTCCCAGAGCGGAATACCGCAGGTCATGTGACCGCGTGTGTTGCATCCAGGGCAAAGCTACCCCGCGCCGGGGCCCTACTGAGCTCTCCAATTTTGTTTACCCCAAACACGCTGACGCGACGCCAAGCTCGCAAGGTCGCGTCGCCCTGCAATCTCTTTGTTTACCTTTCCCAACCGCCGCGTTGTGTGGTTTGCGCCGACGTCGCATCGCGGGGGTAAGAGCGACAAAAATGCACTTTCCATCGCGACACTTCTCTGCCCGCGCCGGCGCCGGCTCCCGTCCGGGCAACTAAACCCCCTCAACTACCGCGCGCGATCAATGCTGCTGTACCCCTCTTCTGACTCCTGCCATCCTGCTACTAAGCCCCCCTCCTGTGCCGCAGCGTTGCGATGCCTCCTCTTCTTGTCCCTTCTTTGGTGCAGAACCTCAAACACCGAGAGATCCGTGCAGCTGAGGGGAAGCGTCCATCGCGCCGCCGTCTGATCCTCCTTATCGGCAGCACGTGGTGTGCCTGCGTGGGATCCAGAGATACGGGAGGCGCCATCCCCGCCCTCCGGCGGCTCGAGGGATTTCTTTCGCAGAAACCTGCTCCGCAAAAAAAGGAGCTGCCCTGACATGACTGAGCGAGCTGAGCTTCATGCAAGCGCGCGGGGGAGGGGAAGCTTGGATCTGCGTCTGCTGGAAACGCCGATGGGCCGCCGACGCTGCTTTGGAGCTATGCCCAGACATCCATTGTGCGTCGCCATTGGGCCGTCCGGGCATCGCGATGCTGCGGTCGGTTTCGCTGAGGGTGGCCTCATATCATGCGGGTCACTTGCACGCAGCCGTATGGATACCGACCGGCTACTGCAGGACATGCGGAGGCGGTGAGCTAGGTTGCCCGTGAAGCACAACGCGGTGGGCCGGGCAATGCTTCAGAGCTGGCAATGTAAACAAACATCGTCATGGATAGAGGCCATCGACCGAAGAGTTCTTCGTATAAGTAGAGTTTCGACTTTAAACAAAGCTCGCGCTTGAGGATCTCAGGATCTCTCGCGCCATTGCTTTTGCCCGATCGATGGCGCAAGAGCAGGGTTGACGATGCGATGCTTGATGAGGATTGGCAGGTGGTGACGAGCGACAAGCCGCTATCTAGGTGAGATCTTGCTCAGCCTTGGAAAATGTGACACCACCCTGCTGGGGGTCTCACCTCTACAACTCCATGACGTCCCCCCAACGAGGAGAGCCTGGGGATTGGGCTGTCGGTTGTTTACCCGGCCGCTGACCTTGAGCTATTTCCAGGCTTGATGCGAATCGATCCTCACCATGGCCGAGTCTGGTCATGGCCGCCAACTCTTGGTTTAGAGATGCCGCGTTTCTGGTTGGGAGCGTGATATATTCCAAATTTAATATCTCCGTTCTGGCGGCTCGCTCAAACAGGACTGCACGGATACCTGTTCGCGTCTCGGTACCAGGCCCCCGTGACGCCCTCTCTGACTTCCCCGCTCTCCATGTTGGGGCTTTGGCCATCCTTTCTTGTGAGGGAGGGAGTCGACAGTTTGCGAGAGCCAGTGACAATGCGCAGGCCACAAGGCAATGTCGCTGGGGACGGAAGGCTGGCCAATGATGGCGGAGAAAAGTCACGGCTCAAGAGAGGGAGAGTCGAGACCCAGGCTTCGAGTGGCAGTGAGCAAAGCACAAACTAGGATCCTGGCGCCATAGTGACCGGGGTCTTTCATATGCCACTGTCGAATTGGTGTTGGTGGTGCGGCTCACTTGAGATCCTAAGTCCTGACGTCTTGGACAGGAGGTTGGTGTTGGATGAATCTGCCTTGAGCTGTGGCCATCAATGCCCGAGCCCTCCTGTCACCGAGATGGCGCGTCCACAAGTCCCAACCGTCAAAGACTCGAAACATTAAAACGTGGGGGAGACAGGCGAGGTCGCCGGTGAGCACAGACGAGGCCCAAGGATTGTAACGGCGCGAGATGCCGAGCGCTATGCTCTCAAGTCCCCAGGGGCCTGAGACTTTAATCACCCGCGAAGCGTGAACCCCAAGCGAGCGACACGTGGACGAAGGAATTGGCGTGCTGGCGAATTCCATGATCCCTTTCCCTCGAGCCGTCGCCATCCCTTAATGGCCGACAGGCGCGGTGCTCATTTCGAGTGGCCGTCCATGGGAGCCGGATCGTCCTAGAGGGTTTCCCATTGTGGCGAGACGACAGCGCCAAACTCAGCAAACACAGCGCCAGAAAGAATCTTTATCCGCTGTGCCGTCAGCTGCAACGCTGGAAGTCGTCTCCGAGACAATCATTCGCTGCCGACCCCGATTGCGAAACAAACCATTGCAGACCCCTGCTGGCGAGCCGGGCGTCTCAGCCGCTTGCTCGCAGGGCTGGTTGAGGCCAGGGCGGCTGTGGGCCGGGCGGGCAGGATGTCAGGTGCTGCCGGAAGATTTGATGGGGCCCTTTGGAGAGTCAATTGCTCATTGTTTCCTCGTCATGCCGACCCAGCGGGGAGGATCTTTTTGTCTGATTTTTACCCAAGGGTATCCTGTCCTCATTCACCGCTTGACGTGCTGGTGGGTAGAACGAAGTTTGTTGCCAGGACATGGACACTGGAGAAAGAGCCTCGGCGGGCGGGGTGTGGGCCGAAAAAAAGCTGTCGACACCCGGCGATGGGTTCTTGTGCGGAGTGGCATTTAGTACGGGGGATGCCGACATGGAGGCAGAGGAGAGGCGGATATTCCTAGGTGTTGAAAGTGCCGTCCGTCTTGCCATTGAAAGTCGAATTCAAGGCCACGGTGAACATCGCCCAGGAATT